GTCATCAGACTCACCACCACCTGTAACCAGGCTCCGGAATTTACGGAGACAGCAGCTGAGAGAGCGAAGACAGAACGCACGCATGCGTGCCAGAAGATCTCTTAGCCCTGAATATTGACAGGATCCTGACCTCGCTCCCGGCTAGCTAATGAGTTAATTAGCTAGCACTGTATATCTGCAAGTCTGTTGCTGGCAGGCATTTGTGCTAGCAAACGTTGTTTGACAGGACCTGAATCCTTGTATCTCTGCTCCAGACCTTGTGGAATTCTTATCGGCTTGATCTTCGGCTTCTGACCCTCGGCTTCGTTGACCCTGCGTTCGTCTCTGACTCCTCCGGTATCGTTGTGATTTATGGACTTGAAACTCTGGTATGTCTGACCCTGCATTTGGACTGTGATTTAAACCTGTTTGAACCTTGCTGCCTGCTTTGCTCGGCTTGACCTCGGACTGTTCCTGGACTTTTGCTTGCTTGCGACACACCCCCTGGCCCTGCCGTGACACACACACGGTCAAGCGTTACCACCGCCACCGCTGCCCAGTTCTCCACTTACCTGTGACCTTGGCCTTGAAGGGGCTGCCCACGACGTGCTGGGGCCCCCCATACTTAATGGAGATGAGGTAGTTGCCTGGGGCCATGGGCATGTAGGTGACCTTGTGGCCCTCGGGGCACTCCTGGCAGTCCATCTGCACCTTGGAGGGCCCGTCGATGGTGACCGAGAGGGCGCCTGATCCGGCGTTCCGCGTCTTGACGAAGAACTCCGAGGAGACGCCTGTCGGAAGAAAGACGGGACGTTAGAAAGGGGGGAGCTATAAGGGAGTGATGCTCTGTCTGTTTGGTGGTTTGGGGGGGGCACAGTGGGAGGGCTTCTGGAATTCTGGCTACGCCGGTGGACCTCCTGAGGGCCACCGGTATTTTGGCCCCTATGGGACACAGGGGTGTTGGACTGGACGGGCCATTGGCCTGATCCAAAATTGGCTTCTCTTATGTCTGGGGCAAGGGATGCTCTGTATTCTTGGTGCTTGGGGGGGGGCACAGTGGGAGGGCTCCTAGTGTCCCGGCCCCACTGGTGGACCTCCTGAGGGCCTCTGGTATTTTTGGCCCCTGGTGTTTTTGGCCACTGTGTGACACAGAGTGTTGGACTGGATGGGCCATTGGCTTCATCCACAATTGGCTTCTTTTATGTTCTTAACTCTCGGTCTGGGGCAAGGGATGCTCTGTATTCTTGGTGCTTGGGGGGGGCAACAGTGGGAGGGCTTCTGGTTTCCTGGCCCCACTGATGGACCTCCTGATGGCACCTGATGTTTTTGGCCACTGTGTGACATAGGGTGTTGGACTGGAGGGGGCATTGGCCTGATCCAACATTAGCTTCTTTTATGCTCTTATGTCTGGAGCAGTGATGCTCTGTCTCCTTGGTGCTTGGAGGGTTCCGGCCCCACTGCTGGGCCTCCTGAAGGCACCTGAGTTTTGGCCACTGTGTGACACAGAGTGTTGGACTGGATGGGCCACCGGCCTGATCCAACATTGGCTTCTCTTTTGTTCTTACGATCCATGTACCAGTTGCAAAGGATTATGGCCTTCTGGGACAAAGACTGCCTGTGGCAAATCAATGTACGGGAGACCACTTCAAGGGACATCTCCTTTCCCAAGCAGAAGGGGAGGGGCTTACCTGTGGTTCCGCCCTCCAGCCCTGGGCCGTAGGCCGTGACGAGACCCGGGTCGCCTGCCTGGCTCTGCTCCCCGACACGGATCTTGAACGGGCTGCCTGGGATGTGTCTGCCGTTGAACCTGACGTCGATGGAGTGGACGCCGTTCTCATGGGGGATGAAGCGGATGGCGTACTTGTCTAGGGAAGGAGGAAAGCCAGATGCATCATGGATCCGCACACTGTCTTCCCCACTCCCAACTCACCTAAGCGTCCTCTTTGCGACAGTCCCCCTTCCCACATGGGCTTTGGCCAATGCAGATCCCAAGATTCTTAGCTCAGCTTGGGGGGGGAGGGCGCGGTGGTCAAGGGAGGCACCCCTTCTCCCTTTTTCAAAAGCAGAAAAGGTTGGTTGGATGCAACCCGCTCTTGTGGAAGATGAAAACATTAAGCCCCAAGCCTGGAAACAATTTCCGGGGCTGGCTCTGGGGCTCTGCCGTGGGTTCCCCAACCTTTTCTAAAAATCCGGCATTGGGGACGTGCAGAAACCAAGAAATCTAACCCGGGATATTTCTCCTTGAATCGTTAGCAGTACTCCGAGGCCCCAGGGAGCCTCTCAGCCCAGCCGAGTTCTTTCAATCGTGGATGGAATGGGTCGGGCCCCGGTAGCTGGGTCTCTTTCACTGGCTACTTCCCTTTTGTAGAGGACACGGCACAGAGCTTTCCTGTTGCGCCGTCAGACTCCAAGTAGCCTCCTTTCATGCAAAGAACTGAGCTCTCCTATCTCTCCTTCTGCAGACGTGTGGGGCTAATGCCCCTATATAAATCAATGGTGCGACCTCATCTGGAATACTGTGTGCAATTCTGGTCACCACACCTTTAAAAGGATATTATAGCTTTGGGAAAAGTGCAGAAAAGGGCAACTCGAATGATAGAAGGGTTGGAACACTTTCCCTATGAGGAAAGGTTAAGGCGCTTAGGGCTCTTTAGCTTGGAGAAACGGCGACTGAGGGGTGACATGATTGAGGTTGATAAGATTATGCATGGGAAAGAGCAGGTAGAGAAAGAGGTACTTTTCTCCCTTTCTCACAATACAAGAACTCCTGGGCACTCCATGAAATTGCTGAGCGGTCGGGTTAGAAGGGATAAAAGGAAGTCCTTCTTCACCCAAAGAGTGATTAGCACATGGAATTCACTGCCACAGGAAGTGGTGGCGGCTACAAGCATGGACGGCTTCAAAAGGGAATTAGATAAGCATATGGAGCAGAGGTCCATCAGCGGCTATGAGCCACAAGGTATAGATAGGAACTCTCAGACTGGGGCAAGGGATGCTCTGTATTCTTGGTGCTTGGGGAGGGGGTCAACAGTGGGAGGTCTTCTAGTGTCCTGGCCCCACTGGTGGACCTCCTGATGGCACTGGTATTTCTGGCCACTGTGTGACACAGAGTGTTGGACTGGATGGGCCTTTGGCCTGATCCAACATTGGCATCTCTTATGTTCTTATGTTCTTATGCCCTGCTCCGCCCGCTACTCACCACTGTCCAGCTCCGAGACGTAGCACTCCTCCACCAGCCCTGACGGCGTGTGCACCTTCGCGTCGATCACGCCACGTGCCCCGTTCAGCTGCACGGCAAAGGAAGCCGGCTGGTTCACCTTCAAGCCGGTCTCCTGCAGACGAACAGAAAAGGGGAGGGCTCTCAGAACCGCAGATGGGAAATGGGGAAAGGAAGCAACCGATTCCCAGGATGCAACAGGTCGCTAGGGTCGCCAGGCCCCCAGCAGGGGCGGGGGATCCCCGGCATCAGGGCCCCTTCCCCAGTGCTGATCAGCTGGCCAGCAGGAGACGGACTGGCAGGAAAACGAGGCCTTGGCCTGTGTCACTGGCAACGCACCAATGTCATTTCTGGTGCACACAGGAAGTGGTGTTCTCACGTGGCTAGCAACACAGGAGCGCTCTGGTATTTGGGCAAAAAATAACTTCTACTAATTTGGGTCAAAATAACTTCTGCCATAGAGCCAGTTTGGTGTAGTGGTTAAGTGCGCGGACTCTAATCTGGGAGAACCGGGTTTGATTCCTCACTCCTCCACTTGCACCTGGTTGGATGACCTTGGGCAAGCCGTAGTTCTGACAAGAGCTGTCCTTGAAAAAGAGCCATTTCTGTCAGAGCTCTCTCAGCCCCGCCTACCTCACAGGATGTCTGTTGTGGGGAGGGGAAGGGAAAGGCGTTTGTAAGCCCCTCTGAGACTCCGGGTGAACTTTCTGAAAGGAGACCAGTTTCTGGACGCAGTTAGAAGCAGTGTTCCCTCTAAGCCGTGGAGTCTTGCGAGCACAAATTCTACTTTGTGAGCTGCTGGCATTAAAGTTGTGAGCGAGCAATTTGGCTACTGCATAAATTAGTTTGCTCTGGAGCCATCCTTCTTGAGATGAGACAAAAAGCTGTGAGCCGGAGTCTAAAGAACTGTGAGCTAGCTCACACTAACTCAGCTTAGAGGGAACAGTGGTTAGAAGGGATCCTAGAGGTCACCTACTCCAACCCCCTTGCTCAGTGTGGGAATTAGTCAACTACAGCTCCCCACTCTGCTTAAAGGAGCCCACGCCTTCAAAAAAATATGTTCAGAAATGATTGGAAAAAGCAATCCAATCCCCCTTGAAGAAAGGAGGCAGAGCCCAGAAAAGCCCCACCGTAGCTACAAGCCTACCATCACTTCCTTGTCCTGGGGAAATGGAACAATGACCCGAACCCTCCCTTTCCGCTCCTCGTTGTTAGCAGCGGTATTCGAAGACTCGACAACTCCCCCACCCTGCAGGGGGCGCCGGACTGGGCCAGCTGGTACCTGGAGGCTTGTGACGGTCAGGCGGTGAGCGTCGTCCGAGAGTGAAGCCACCGGGACCACAAAGGGACTGTCGGGGATGTGCTCATCGTTGAATTTGATAGATACCTCGTAGTCACCTGGGGGAGGGGAGAGAGAGGGCCACGGTCACCGAAGGAAGCCCACATCGAGCCAGCCATCGATTGGGTTGGCGAGACAGTGCCACAAACTGTTTCTGGGGCCCTTCCTGGTCGGCAGGAATGAATGTGTCCCCCCCGGGGCTGGCGTAAACATACACTGAGGGAACTGCCACCAGGGAAAGACACTGAGGGAACTGCCACCAGGGAAAGACACGCAGGCGGTGTATGATGATGGTCGTCCCCCGTCCCCCCTGGGGCAGGCCTAGTGATGTATTCCACCCACCACCCAGTCCCGTCAGGGAAAGGACGTGCAGTCCACGAGAAGGACACTCCGGTGGGTGGGGATGTGGGTGGGCGGGAAGAAAGGGATGAGTGGCAGTCCTGGTGGGAGTTGGAGGAGGAGGAGAGAGGACCCTGGGCATCAGGGGTCATTTCCTACGGGAGCGCACAGGAGCGGAGCTCCGGCAGTAAAGAGCCCAGGGGGCAGGCACATGCAACAAGCCCCACTCCCTGCTCCCAGAAGCCCTCAGTCAGAGCAAGAAGCAGCCAGGTAAGTTGCAGAGCTCCCCCCCCCCCGGGGTCCAAAACAGTCCAGTGGCACCTTTAAGATCAAGTTTTATTCAGGTACAAGCTCTCCCTCCTCTGCGAGGACAGATCTGCACGTGCCCACCTCGCCCCCGTCCAATAGCTAGCAATCCAAAACAGTCCAGTGGCACCTCAGCGGTGGGTGTTGCCTTCTGACACACTTCCGGTGATGTCAGGGGGTGTGGCATATGCAAACAAGTTATGCTGATGAGTTATGCTAATGAGCTCCTGCACCTCTTTTCCTACGAAATGACCCCTGGTGGGTGTGCTCTGCCTGGGATCCTCCAAACCCCAGAACCAGACCCACGTCCGCCAGCCTCCCGGCCCGAAGCTCCCATCCTACCTGCTTCTTGGACAATGTAGGAGACGCCGCAGGAGCCGTCTTTCCTGTCCTCAAAGGCGATCTCCGCCTTGCTGGGGCCCTCGACCGCGATGGACAGGCCGCCAGCGCCCGCCTCCCGGGTCCAGATGCTGAACTCGGCTGGGCGGAGAGAAGGGGGGACAGTCAGTGCAGGCCCCAGGGAAACCCCAGCGCCTCTGCTCTTCTCTTACCGGGCAGGCCAAAATGGCCGCAGCCAAGATTTTTTAATCTAGTGGTTTATTTAATGCATTTCTAGGCTGCCTTTCCACCCAAAGAGGGTGTCCCCCCCCCATGGAGACAAAAATTAGGGTCCCACTTGGAGCCCACGCTCTCCTGCCCTGGGTTCTAGTCTGGATTTTCTTCTCTGTAGGTCTTTGTGGGACAGGTTGGTCATGGAAGGAGGAGGAGGAGGAGGAGGAGATTGGATTTATACCCCGCCCTTCACTCGGAGTCTCAAAGCGGCTTACAAACTCCTTTCCCTTCCCCTCCCCACAACAGACACCCTGTGAGGTAGGCAGGGCTGAGAGAGCTCTTTCCAGAACTGCCCTGGAGAGAACAGCTCTGACAGAACGATGGTTTGCCCAAGGTCATCCAGCAGCTGCGAGTGGAGGTGTGGGGAATCAAACCCGGTTCTCCCAGATTAGAGTCCGCGCACTGAAAGTGGATTGAAAGTGCATTGGATTTTGCCATTTCACACAGTACAATCCAGTGGCAAAAGGGCATTGAAAGTAGATTGAAAGTGCATTGGATTTTTGGCACTTCACACAGCACGATCCACTTGCAAAGTGCATCAAAAGTAGATCGGAAATGCACTAGTCAGCGTGTGTAAAAGCGCCAGTGTATTGGAAGGTATGCATTCATATTTTCTAGCCTCTTAATACTTGTAGTCTTCGCTTCTAACACAGAGCCCTTACCTGGCACTCCAGCGACGCCCCTCTCCAAGCCGGTGCCTCCCGCCCGCACCTTGTGGGCGCCCCCTTCTCCCAGCGGCCCCACTGTGAATTGGAAGGGACTGCCCGGCACGTGCTGGCCACGGTACTTGACGGCCACGGTATGGGGGCCCATTTCTTGGGGCACGAAGCGGACGGAGTAGGCGCTGTCCTCTCCCTCGATGATTTCTGCCTCTGCCATCTTTCCCGAGGGGCTGGTCACCTGGGCGGTCATGGCCTGTAAGCCCGCCTCACCTGTACCATGAACACAGAGGAACAGGACAGTCAGCCAATCAACAGCAAATGGGCTGGCCCAACCCGAAGGCTCAGCCAATCCAGAGCATCTTCCAAGACAGCCCCACAGTTCAACCAAACGGAGCCACCCGATGCTTTGATCAAGTGTCAAGGATGCTAGGGTTGCCAGCCTCCAGGTGGGGCCTGGGGATCTCCTGGATTTACAACCAGTGGTCCCTCTAAGCTGAGTCAGTGTGAGCTAGCGCACGGTTTTTTAGCCTCCGGCTCACACATTTTTGTCTTAGCTCGGGAAGGAGGGCTCCAGAGCAAACTAATTTATGCAGCGGCCCAATCGCTCGCTCACAACTTTAATGCCAGGAGCTCCCAAAGTTGAATTTTTGCTCACAAGACTCCACGGTTTAGAGGGAGTGTTGATTCCCACAGATCTCCAGTCAACAGGGATCAGTTCCCCTGGAGAAAATGGCTGCTTTGGAGGACAGACTCTATGGCAGTGGTGGCGAACCTAGGGCACGGGTGCCAGAGGTGGCACTCAGAGCCCTCTCTGTGGGCACGCGTGCCATCGCCCCAGCCAGGCCCAGACCATCATTAAAGTGTCGACTTCTCTGCCAAATAATTTTAAATAAATGAAAGCATTTGGGATTGCTTTCCTTACATTGTTTGGATCATCTTAAGTTAATGTATGAGTTGTTTTTTTCTAAAGTAAAACCTCAGTATTCAGGTTAAATTGCCATGTTGGCACTTCGCGATAAATAAGTGGGTTTTGGGTCACAGTTTGGGCACACGGTCTTTAAAAGGTTCGCCATCACTGGCTTAGAGGGAGCATTGGTGGTGACCTTTGACCCCCCTCCCCCCCATGCTGAAGTCTGATCTCTCCCCACCCCACCCTCCCCAGGCTCAACCCCAAATCTCCAGGAAATCCCCAACCTGGAGCCGGCAACCCTAGCGGATTCCGTAAATCATTTGTTTAAAACGGAAGTTTCTAGTCCTCGTGGCTGCACAGAAAATCAACAGGTGCCGTTTCCAGAAGGCTTCAGAACAAGAGGGCACTTCTTTGCCACAGCGGTTCTAGACTTTAGGGTTGCCAACAGTGTTCCCTCTAAGCTGAGTTAGTATGAGCTAGGTCACAGATTTTTAGCCTCCGGTTCACATATTTTTTTCTTAGTTCAGGAAGGAGGGCTCCAGAGCAAACTGACTTATACAGTAGCCAAATCGCTTGCTCACAACTTTAATGCCAGTCGCTCACAAAGTAGAATTTTTGCTCACAAGACTCCACAGCTTAGAGGGAAAACTTGCCAACCTCCAGGTGGGGACTGGAGATCCCCTGGAATTACAACTGATTTTCAGACCACAAACATCAGTGGATCTGGAGAAAATGGCTTTTTGGGGGAGAGTGAAATCAATGCTGATATATATATCCCCCTGAAGTCTCTGCCCTCCCCAGGATCCACGTCAAAATCTCCAGAAATCCCCCCCCTGAGTTGGCAACCCTAGGTCGCTGCCTCGCTGGGGGCCTTTTGTCCAGTCCCCCCCCAGTTCCATAGCTCCAAATGTGGGTCGCTCTTGCCTCCACACCTGAGCCCCCTTACCACTTCCCAAAAATATTCAGAACTATGGCAAAAGGGTCGATGCTGCCGTTGGAATAAAGGGCCCGCAATGCAGACCTGTGCAAACGTCACGCATCCGCATAATTCATTCGGAGCCCATTCTTTTCCCCACAGAGTATCCGCTGCTTTAGAACAGCCAGTAAGAAAATAAGTAGAATTCTAGACTCAGGTGGGGCAGCCGTGTTGGTCTGAAGCAACAGAACAAAGTCTGAGTCCAGTGGCAACTTTAAGACCAACAAAGTTGAATTCTGGGTAGAAGCTTTCCTGTGCATGCATGGTATCTGATGAAGTGTGCACGCACACAAACGTTTAAACCTAGCATTAAACTTTGTTGGTCTTCAAGGTGCCCCTCGACTCAAATTTTGCTCTAAAGTCCTAGAGAGACGTCCCCACCAGCACAGACATGAACACACGTGTGCATACAACTCATTGTTATGCTATACACACACACACAGAAACACACACAATTAAGCCGTTTTCAAGTAAGTAGCCACCCATGTTAGTTTCTAGTAACAGAACAAAATTTGAGACCAGTAGCACTTTCAGAGACGACCAACATTTTCCAGGGTATAAACATTTATTAGTAAAAGTGGACTTTGGTGGATACTATTATATAGAAGAAGAAGAAGAAGAAGAAGAAGAAGAAGAAGAAGAAGAAGAAGAAGAAGAAGAAGAAGAAGAATGGATTTATACCCCATGGCCCTTCACTACCCAAAGGAGTCTCAGAGCGGCTTACAAACTCCTTTCCTTCCCCCTCCCCACAACAGACACCCTGTGAGGTAGGTGGGGCTGAGAGAGTTCTGACAGAAATGGCTCTTTTTCAAGAACAGCTCTGCCAGAACTATGGCTTGCCCAAGGTCATCCAGCAGGTGCAAGTGGGGGAAGTGGGGGAGGAGTGGGGGAATCAAACCCAATTCTCCCAGATTAGAGTCCGCACACTTAACCACTACACCAAACTGGTGCTCTTGGAGCTGTTCTCTCACAGGCAGTCCTTGACATAGCTCTCTCAGCCCCACCTACCTCACAGGGTGTCTGTTGTGGGGAGGGGAAGAAGAAGAGGAGATTGGATTTATACCCCACCCTTCACTACCCAAAGGTGTCTCAGAGCGGGTCACAAACTCCTTTCCCTTCCCCCTCCCCACACCAGGCACCCCATGAGGTAGGTGAGACTGAGAGAGCTCTGACAGAAACTGCTCTTTTTCAAGAACAGCTCATGTCAGAACTATGGCTTGCCCAAGGTCATCCAGCAGGTGCAAGTGGAGGAGTGGGGGAATCAAACCCGGTTCTCCCAGATTACACTGCACACTTAACCACTGCACCAAACTGGCGAGGAGTCCCCAAGCTTTCTGAGCCTCTGGTCACCTTTGGAATCCTGCCACAAAATGTCTGCCGCTGGAGGCGGAGCCAACCACAACATGTCAGAGTGTGAGGTTACGCCTAACCCTAATCGTAATTCTTCAGCATTTCGGGCCGAAGCTTTGTTTAAGAGCATGCCTTTTAAAACAATCGTATTTTTAAAAATATATATTTTCTTGCATGCAGACACACACTAACGCTGTGAAGAGCCTTGTACTGTGCTGGCAGCTTCTGCCAAAGCGACTTTTTAAAAAATCCGCACAGCCACCCAAAACTCTAGTGGCCAATCAGAAGCCTTGCTGGGCAAAAGCCTCACCCGCTTTCTAAAGACATTGGCAGGCAGCAGGAAAGGTAGGTACCCCGGCGCCCCGGGGCACCACATTGGGGGACAGTTGCCCTAGAAAATTTTGTCCGTCTCGAAGGCGCTACTGGACTTCCCATGTGAACAAGGAATACCTGGCCACACAATCACCTTCTTGCTTCAAAAATCTGAGCTCCCGAGTTTCACCTTCTTCGAACAATCCTTAATCTCCTGTTACTGCCAATTCAAGGATACTTTCCAATAGCTGAACTTGGCAGCTCCAGGGAAGCTGCTTTGCCAGACAGATCGGCTTCCCCAGCAAGCTCAGACGGATCTGGATCGCTCTGCGCGCTCCGTTGTGCAAACTGGCCAGCCCATCAACCGCACAACCAGTGTTCCCTCTAAGCTGAGTTAGAGTGAGCTAGCTCACGGTTTTTTTAGCTTCCGGCTCACACATTTTTGTCTTCGCTCGGGAAGGAGGGCTCCAGAGCAAACTCACTGATGCAGCAGCCAAATCGCTCGCTCACCACTTTTAATGCCAGGAGCTCACAAAGTAGAATTTTGGCTCACAAGACTCCGCAGCTTAGAGGGAGCATTGCGCACAGCCCCAGAAGTTTTTCGATATTGTTTTCTAAATGTTAAGATGGCAAGCCGCCTCAACTCTGCATTAGGCAAGGCAGAAATATCTAAATGGTGGAAAGTGCAGGCCAGTTGTGGTCGACCTGTGGCGACCCTGTAGGGTTTTCAAGACACGAGACATTCAGAGGTGTTTGGCCCTTGTCTCCCATCCAAGGGCTAAGCAGGACCGACCCTGCTTATCTTCCGAGATCCGATGAGATCAGGCTAGCCTGGGCCAATTAGACCAGGGAAGAGATCAGCAGAGGTGGCTTTCCATTGTCTGCCTCTGCGTGGCAACCCCGGACATGCAACAAGCCCCGCCCCCTGCTCCCAGCAGCCCTCAGTCAGAGCAAGAAGCAGCCAGGTAAGTTGCAGAGGGGGCCCCCGGCCCGCCTTCAAGTACAAGCTCTCCCTCCTCTGTGAGAGCAGATCTGTGCGTTCCCTTC